TCGCCTTGCCACGATCATATGAAGTACCTAAAACAATAAACTCAAACTGTAAGCCAAAGCTTAGTGAGTTCCCCCAAAGTACCACCACACAAACATATAATCAAATAGATATCGGGTCCATAACCTCCTGGTTGGATTACCCCTGGCCCGCAACCTTATGGTTGGAATGCCTCAGCCAACAACCTTTCGGTTGGCTTGCCCAATACATAACAAGTCCACAACCTACTGGCTGGATTACCCTTGGTCCAAAAAATTTCGGTTGGAATGCCCTAACCCACAACCTTTCAGTTGGAATGCCCCGGTCTGTTGGTCGACAACACAAAGTAGTACAGTCTTAACCCCACCATACCATGTCGACATATATATAACAAATAATATATATATATATATATCCAGCAACAGATAATGATATAACCAGTCAACAGACTAACAAACAAATCTACAGATCACTACCGCATACCAATATCCTATATACCAGGATACATATCTAAAAGACCACTAGAACATAACGACATCCTATATACCTAGATACACAATCTAGTTGTTCGGTATTGGTACCTTCGACCCACGAGTACAATGAGGAAACTCACTTTTCAGTCCGAACAAGTAGCTGAATAGGTCTTTTCTTCGAATATCAACTCTACCTGTCAACTAATAATCAAATAGTGACTAATCTCAAATATAACTCAAAATACCCTTAGGTCAAACTTGGTTATCTGGTCAAAGAAAAAAGTCAAACATATTCAACACAGTTGAGTACGCCCAACGTACTCATCTTGTACACCCAGTGTACACGAGTATTGACCATTATTACGGGTTGGTTGACTTAGTACACCCGACGTATCTAGGTTACGCCCAACATACGCTGCCTTCACTCAAACCTTCCATTAAGAGCTTATTCCTTAAGCTCCTTTGTCCAAATTCCAGATCTAGCCCGAAACTAACGTCCTTAACCATAAAGTTTCTAACTTTATGGTCTTATATGGTCATTAAGTGCCAAAACACAAAAACCCTAACTACTAAACCCATTAAGACCTTGTAAATCATGCATAAAAGGATTCTAACAATCAAGATTACATTTTTATGCTTTTATATGCTTCTAAACATCTGAAAGGACAACTTATATGGATTAGAGTAACCCATACTCATAATATCAAGCTTCTGGGACCAAAAGAACACCATTTCATAACTAAACAAGATCTAAACAAATCTTAATCAACTTGAGAGATTTTTATCTCCAAATGGTGCCAAATTATGTTGCTATTCTGGATCCAAAGAGTCCACCCCTCCAAGATGATCTTCTCTTCTTCCTTTCTTCTTCAAAGTTACCAAAACACACACAAAATGCTGAAGAATGTTCTAAAATGGGTTAGGGTTTGCTTGGGGGTGAAAGTGGGTTGCAAGATGATGAAATAAGGCAGGTTTGGGACTTAAGGATGGTTAAATAAGGTCCAAACCCTAAATATTAGGGTTTGGGTTCGTGGCACGTACGCTCAACATACAGAAGTTAGCCCCAATATTTATGAAAATATCATTTGGTCTAATTTTGCAAATAATTCTCATCCAAGGTCAAAAATGAAATTACTTCTCATACTTAGGGTTTAAAATGAAAATACATCAGTAACAAGATGTTACATCGTGGGTCAAAGGCACCAATGTTGGCCCACTAGATTATGTTATGGTGGAGGACCAGCTGGTGACCCCTAAATATTTTATGAAAGACCTGGATAAGGCTCCCAACAACCTTATGCAAAACCAGGGTCTGGACCCTAGCAGTTATATGTAGGATGCTAGTTCTCTTTATGATACTTGTATGGAAGACCAGAAGGTGGCTCTTGGCATTTGTTTGTAATAATTGGGATTTGTCCCCCTGCTTGGCAAGGAAAGACCATGATACGGCTCATGGAATGATAGTAGTTGTAAGACTATGGTTGGAACATAACATTCTCTAGTCTATGTATGGTATGTGGTATTTTGGGGGAATCACTAAGCTTTGTGCTTATGGTTTCATGTTTATGGTTGCAGGTACTTCCAGTTCCAAAAGGAAGTGTCTGGCGTGACTGCACAACATCCCCCATATTTTTCAAGATTGGCTATTTGTGATTTTTACTCTGATTTTTACATGATATATTCACTTTGATTGGTTTTGGAACAACTCTTTTGTATAGTTTATTGTTTTAAAAAATGAAAATTTTATGATGAATTTGTTGGACGTTACACTCCCTTTCATATAAAACACATACAATTTCCATAGCTTTCACATGACCATTTTTATCTAATTCGAATTTTACAATCAAGATTAAGCTTTCCCTTTCTCATTTACCCAAAATATTCACCGTCTACTGTCATTGCTCAAAGAACCCACTATTATATCACAACCTCCATCATACCCACCATAAAGCCCTTAACTCCTCTACCTATGTCTCTGACATTGAACCTCACCATGAAACCCTTCTTTATTTACCCCCATCGACCCCCACCCAACCATACAAGGACGTGTCTTCCCAAGTGATATCAACTACAAGTTGAAGTTTCAAAACCTTATGGTTTCTTCCGAAGCTCAACTATTTTTCAGTTTCTCAATTTCCGTCTCAAACACCAACAAAATACATGTACATAAAGATGTTTGCATAAAACAATTAGTATTGTCGCGTCACCGAAAACGGTTGTTGGATTTTAGAATCTTGGAAAAAGGTTGTTGTGGAATTGAGATTGGTTGTTGGAAAATTTTTGGTTGAAATTTAGCTTGTGGATTCATTTTGTTGAAGAGGTTGCTGGAATAGGTTATGATGCGGAATAGGAGAACCTTGAAGCAATTTCATGAATCTTCTACTTAGTGAATTGTAAATTAGAAATTGTTATGGTGTTGTGTTTAAGGAGAATGCACCTTCTCGAGTGTGGTATTTGTGTTTCGGTTTGATGATGGTGTATTTAGGTTTTGCTCCACTATATGAGAATACAAAAGATACTAATGCATATAATATAGGAGGAAAATGTGGTTAAGATTGTATGTATTTATAGATAAATTTCTATATTTTTAGGATATATATATATATATATATATATATATATATATATATATATATATATATATATATATATATATATATATATATATATGATCGTTGAAAAACGGTCATTTTCTCTCATCACCGCGTCCCATGGCGTTATACAGACCACATATCACCTAACCACCATGCATCCATAGGCGGATCCACAATAGATTCCGGGATACCCCTAAAAAAATCCATTACTATAATTTTTTTAGAAAAATGTCGTTTTATGTAGTGTATATATACATAATTTTAATACGGTTAGCGAGATAATAACACAAGTTGTAGTTTGTTCAGATGATTAAGTCGTTAGGGGGTGTTTATGAAGGTTGCAAGTTCAAATTTTCTTTCAAACATTTATTTTCTTTTATTTTCGCAGCTCCTTTTATATAGCTTTATACGGATTATACCTATTATGTTATGATTTTGTGAAAATTAAACACAAATATTGAGTGGTCCAAGTGGTAAAGCATTAAACCTTTAACTTTGAGATTCTTATTTTGAATCTTTGCCCTCACATAAGTGTATTTTTATTTTGTTTATCAATTTTTACTTTTTTTTTTTAAAATTCTAAAATTATCCTACAACGGCCATAACATGAAACATAGTTCATATACATATGTTATATAAGCAACTCAAGCTTCTCAATTCTCAATAAGTTAAACTTTTGAATGAGTTTGGGTTTAAACCCAAAACTGAGTTTGGAAAACCGAGAAACCGAACTCATCGGTTTGGGATACTCCTTAACTTTGACCCTGATTCCACCACTCCATGCATTAATGTCGGTGAGAGATGGTGTGCATGTTGTTGCATCTTGGCCATATCAACACCATATTATCGGCATAGTAACTATAACCAAAGAACATTTAATTGAAATTTTTTATGATTTTTTATCATTTTATCTGTCACTCAATATCGATGGGGTCAATATTGTTTTATAACTTATATTTTACTATCCATTGATCATTCAATATTTATTAATGATTCATTAGGTAATACATGTAATTTATTCATTTTATTAATATTTTTATTTTATCCATCTTATTATATTTTATATTTTATATTTATTATTTTTGACTAATTTATTTAATATAGTAAATATGCAAATAAAATCAATATTTATATAGATTAACTATATACTAATACAAATATCAAAGATATAGTGTGTTTAAAAACGAAAAAAATATTGAAAAATAATTTATACAACATTTTAAATATGTGGAGATCAATGTTTAAATAGTAGAAAAAAACATTAAGAAAAAACTTATGTATCATAAAAGAATCTTAAATTTTATTGATTTGATAAGTAAATAAACTTTCAAGAGGTTAACTAATAGTGTGGACTGTGGATATGATCTTATGACTAAGACTAATGAGTAAAAAGAAATAGGAATGAAACACTACTAGAAACATGGCTTTTAGAGACAGAAGAATCCGTCGCTATTCCATCACTAAATGTTGCTTGCGATGGATTAGTGACAGATTCACTCCATAGGTAATTCAAACGTGGCAAATAACTCAGCAAGGGTTTTAGCGACCGATTCGTTTTTCCTTGCGACAAGTTTAGCGAAAAAAATATCCGTCACTAAATGTCACTCAATACATTTACTCAGGGAATTAGCGACAAAGTTTTTTAAAGTCATTCCATCGCTATTCTGTCGCAAATTGCCATGATCAGTTTTTTTTTTCGTAGCTAATCCCTTGCAAAATTCATATACTAATTTTTTTTTTTCTGTCGCAAACATTAGACATGATTTTTTTCCTTAGCTAATCCCTTGCAAAATTCATACATTTTTTTTCCGTCGCTGATCCATCGCAAACTTTAGATATTATTTTTTTTCGTAGCTAATCCCTTGCAAAATTCATGCATTATTTTTTTTTGTCACTAATCCGTCGCGAACTTGTAATATCATTTTTTTATTATGATTCTAAAAGAAAAAAAAAATACTAAAATCATCAAATTATTGTACTAAAAATATCAAATAATGATACAACCAAACATTACAATACCAAAACTATAAAAGTTTACCAAAGTATCATTTAAAAAACATCCAAAAACAAAATTATGAAAGTAAATTGCTATTTCTTGCATTACCTGTTTCAAAGCTCCAACATCATTAGTGCCATCACCACACATCAAAGTTACTCTCCAGGATGATTGAAAAGTTGTCATTATTAACTCTTTTTTTCTCCGGAGCCATCCTGGCAAATACCTAATAACCGAAGTTGATTTTACAGCTAAACAACTTCAAATAAAAAGTTTAAAATTTTACAAATTTGGTCCCTGTATCAAACTATTTTCCAGGTTTGGTCCAAGGGCAAAGTGGTCATTTTGAAAAAGCTAAAATGAGAGTTGAATCAAACAACCATGGTCTATATTGGCAACAAACTGATACAAAAAACAGAACCTGGACCAAAACCTAAAAATACAGTAAACCACAGGGACCAGAGTTGTAATTTAATAATAAAAAAAAAAGCTTCGCAACCTTCACATATGGAATCACTTTAACAACAGCAGATGTCTGTAGCAACATTTCAAAGCAGTCGTCATGATCCTAATGCAAAATAAAAGTAGGATGCTATAATAAGCAAATGAATAAAAGTAGCTCACAACTTCAGTTTCATCTGGTGAAACTGAAGCAAGAATCAAAGCTTGATCGTCCGTAATCATAACCTAATGCAAAATTCATAAATTTAACTTTTTGATTTTTTTCAAGAAAACTAAAAACTCTAATATGAAATTGGAAAATCAAATTAAAGAAACTAAGAGTTTGTTTCTTTTTTTTTCTCCATTAAGTCCCGTAGACAAAAGTGTTGCATACAAAATGTTTGTTTCTTTTCTAGACCGAATAAAATCATCTGAGTGAGAGTAAATGACCATTTTACCCTTGCATTCTAACAAACAATTTTCACTCGGTGATACTTACCTTTTTCCCAGTCATGTGATGATTTTTTCAATTCAGCCACAACACTAGCAGAATCTGCTCTGATAAGGCAATTAAATACCTAAAGTTCATTTCTATAGCAAAAATGTCAAAAAAAAAATCATTTATCATAGAAAAATGAAACCATGTTAATAAATTTATAGAAAGATGAGTTAAATTTAAAATAAAATTTAATAATTTATTCTGCAAAACTAGCAAACGTGAGCCCGGTTTCCACTACTTCCCTATCCAAGTTTCTAGCTTCACTTAGCTATAACAAATTGTGTAGGTGAAAACAAGAGATTCTAGAAGGGCAAAATAGTCAATAAGAAAAAAATACTTACCGTCATATCAGGAAGGGGTTTATATGCTAGAGCAAGGACACGAGAGCCTTGTCGTGTGTACCTCTTGTAGGTGTTTATATAAAATGAGGGTATATCATTTGATCTTTCTTGAATGGTCTCTGGTGCACCCTAAAATAAACACCATTTAAAAAACTTTAAGAAAATTGAATAAAGGTAATACACCATAATATATTATATTATATTTAAGTATTTAACATTTTAAATACCTTCACAAATGCATAAAATGACGGCTCTTCTGTACGAATAACAACTGTCATTCTTTTCAAGTGAGATGCAAAGTGATGTCTTTGAACTATTTGAACTGCATTACCACCAACCTAAAAAAAAAGTTGGTTATTAATTTCATCTATTAAAAAAAATGTTAATTAGGGTTTTATTTCCTTGATAACGGGTCTTACTTCTTAGGCATGACTTTCTCATCAGATTTATAGCTCCATTCTATCCCTTTGATTGCAGCCTTCTCAAGAGGATCACCAACCTAAAAGCAATGGTATAAATATAAATATGCATAATGCATTTTCTTTATGATCATAATATTATAATTTGAGATTATAATTATTATAATATTTTATATACCAGTTTGTTGTCCACAAAAACAAGTGCATGGCAAGAAGCAAGAATTTCCAAAGTTCGATTTGGGATTTTTTTAGTGTCTGTTTCAAGATCTAAATCGGCACTCATTCCACCAACTCCAGAGAATTCCTGAAAAAAAAAACAAAAAAAAATGGGAGACTGGAAACAAAAAGTTTACCATGAATGGCAGAATTGTAAATACCATGTCATCAGATGTCAATGTTCCAGTCTTGTCAAAACAACATATATCAGCCTGCAAAAGAAATGGAGGGCAATATGGTCATTTTATATCCATCAATTAACAATGTCAATTTGGACAAAAAGCATGACTAAATTGCATTTTAGGCACTAAAAATCGAAATATTGGAACATATTTGTAAAAATCAATAAACATAAGGAACTAAAAATGCCATTTGCCTAAAAATACATGTAGTATAACTATATAAGCTAAAAGACTTAATCCCAGATAAATGATCAAACTAGCTAAGAAACTAGGGCAAAATGGTCATTTTACAGTTTACACGCACTTAATATCCATCTGTTGATAGTGTTAAAGTCAGGGACTAAAAATACAATAAAAGCAACATTTCAGGGGCCAGAAGTTAAAAATCAAAGTATTAAGCCATACCCGTAACAATCAAGAAACACACAAGGTAGAAAACTGTAACTTACCTAAATATAAATGTATTAGAAGCTAAAAGACATTAATCCCAGATTTAAGATCAAAATAGCAAAGACATGCTAAAACCTAAAGCCATGGGGGAAAATGGTCATTTTTACATGTAATTTAACATCCATCTAACTTCAAGTGTGAAGAAACTATGCTTTCGGGAACCAACAGTTAAATATCAAACAACTGGACCATACCCGTAAAAATAAACAAACCACAGGGACTAAAAATACAACTTTAACTTTTACCACAAAAATAAATGTTAATGCTCACCTTCCCAGCAAATGGTATATGAAAAGGCTCTGTACAAAATATACCACGTCTTGCTAGTGCAATCAATGAGGTATTAACAGTTATTGACAACTCCATTGGCAATTCAGGGGGAACCACAGATAAAGAAGCTTGTATCTACTCCTGTTTGGGTCCTCATGCCCCTAAATCAATAAAAAATTACAGTTATAACCTTCATCACACCTTTAAAACACTAATAGGTGTTAAATTTCATCACCAAGTTGAGAGCTTTATACCATAGGATACTAAAACAGAGCCAAGATTACTTCAAGATTCTTCAAAAAAAAAAAAAAAGGCAAACCAAGGGTAAAACGGTCAGAAAAGAAAAGCAAACCAGGGGCAAGCAAAATGAACATGAAAAGAGACATGGTAAAGATTCTTCAATAAAAGAAAGGGAAATCTGAACATGTCAAAATAGATATGATGAGACAAGAAACTTGAATCAAGAAAAAGACATAAAAGAGACAACAAAAGGTCAAATTCACCTTCACCAAGATTGTGCGAGTATTCCTTCCAAAGATAGCCTTTTGAGATCACTTCAAGAAAAGAACCAATAATTAGTGTAATACATAATAGTTGTTGGAAGAAACATATAAATACATAACAATTAACAAAAAAAGGTAGAAATGAACAAATTATAAAATGGTTACTACATAATTACAAAATTATGTATTTCAGAATTACATAAATGATAAAAATGATAACAGATTGAATAATTAAGGCGATGGTAATTGAAGCAACAAGCAACATATAACAGATTACAAATGATAAAGTACAAATTACAGGGTACTGGATGGTGATATGGTCAATGAAACAACAAGTAACAGGTAACACATAAAATCATAGAATAGTTACAGAAATGGTAAACTAAATACGAGTACATAACTAGAGAATGACTAAAATACATAACTAGAGAATGAATAAAATACATAACTACAAAGTATTGGATGATGATATCCAAAATCCAATACTTTGTAATTATATATTTTAGCAATTCTCTACTTATGAAAAAAAAAAATCCATTCTTATCACTAGGTTACAACTTACAACATTGAGATCAATGTTAACAACACAAATTTACAGTAACAAGCAACTTCATTAAGTTCATTATGATGCTTAAAGGAAATTCATTGAGTTCATCGTAGCACTAGGATACAGTTACAATGTAAAATAACTTGTCATGATGATGTTGAAAAAGAAGAACAAACAAGTAGCACTGCTGCAGTATGCAGATAAATGAAGACTTATTAATGATGAGATGATGAGATGAAATAACTTGTCATGACTCATGAGGATGTACTCATCAATGTATCATAAACTTAAGCTCTCAACTTTTAGCTTTGGCAGAAGAGATGTTGCTGGGTGGAGTTCCAGGGACAGGTGGATTTGATGTTGTTTTTTCTATTACTCTAAGTGAATCGAGTGCCAATCTAACCAAAATATGGAGTTCACACAACGTATTGGCATTGTTAGTTAGTGAAGATCCTCGTGTATGTAATGCTAATAGATAAGAGGGATGATGATTGAAAAAGAAAAAATGGTGAAATTAAACCCTAACGAAGTACTATATGCAATTGAAACTAACCTAATATGTGACTCAAGCAAATAAAATCAAGAGATTACCTGAATCGGAAGTTAAAATCAAGAGATACCCCAAATATAGTTTCTATCACCGTTTTCTCGCTAAATGTGTACCCGTTGACACAATTTTTTATCCCACGTTGAGCCATAGCTAAGTGCCTTCATTTTCGACTGATTAGCGAGGAATAGTGGTCCGTCGATATATACTTGCGAGATCCGTAGCTGAGCCCTCGGTAAATCCTCACTGATATTCCATATGTTAAATAAATAAAATAATTATCAAAAACATGGTAGATCTGTGGTAATTCCCTTGCTATAAGTCTAAATTTTGCTTGAGAATAAATCCGTAGCAAAATCCCTAGCTGAAACTCAAGTTTCTAGTAGTGAAAGAGATAAAAAGTTGTTGAAGCTACTTCTTCCTTCGTAACCATATGATGGACTATTTTTTTTTAATCTGTGGAATGTATAACATCTTTCGAAATGTGTTTTTCACACGAAAGACGAACGTAAGCTTTACTTACACCTATCAAAAAAATTACTTAACACACAAAAAGAACTTTTCATAGAAATCAAACCCAAGTTTCTCAAACAACAACCCTCAGCCTACCTGCGGACGTATTAGGCTACTATATAGTATATCTTTCTCCCTTACTTTCTGTCAGATGCCAAGATTGTTGACCCCATGTCTAACCCACGAACTGCCAACATACGTACAACTGTCCAGACAAATAGCTATTCAAAAGGCTGGCTGATCAGCCGGATTGGCTCTACAAGAAAAGTTTAAAAACTTGGAAATCAAAAACTAAAAATAAGTAGCAACTTAAAATAGTTTGTATATATTATATGGACACAACCCTTGAATAATCTTGATGTGTTGATCTAGCTACTTTTATTTCTATTTCTAACTTAACAATCACATACAACTTTTTTCGGTTTTGCGTGAATAAAATGTTTTCACCTCTTTCATTCTGTGTCCTCTGGTCAAGGTCAGCCCGGCCTCAAGGAGGAGGTACTGTGTGTGCGACTGCACATGATCTGTTCTTGAATTCCGAATTTTTAATGTCTTAGAGTTCCATTAATATCCATCGCTAATTTGTTTTGTGCATTGCTAATCCGGAATTTTAGATGTTAGTTTTTACTTTTCATATTTGACCTTCAAAATCAACAGACCAAACCTGCGACCAGTTAAAACACGAAAGAAAAGTTTTTGGTTGTATTAATTATTTATTATTTATTTCTACTATGTATTAAATTATTTATATACTATGTTGCTTTTATAACTATATAGTCAAGTTCTATGTTTGATGTGTCCCCGTGAAGAAAAATATCTAGATTAGCCAATGTCTTATAGTCAAATTCACATGACTATCACCATCATAAAGCATTCGTGTCTTCGTGGAGGTTATATATTATTGATTTTATTTTGGACCACTTGTATATCTCCAACCTATTTTTTCTTTTTAAGTAATCTTTTTTACTTTATCAGCTTAATCAGTTTGTAATCAAATCTAACGTAAACGGGTTAATTTCTATATAAATTTATAAAAATTATTGTTTTTATAGAAAGTGTTTAAAATTAACGCTCATTAATTTGATTATTTAAAACTGATAGTTTTAAAAAAGAGATTGAGATTCATGCTTTATTCGGTCACAATGTAGAATATTTAGTGATAGTGTTATCACGTCATCTATTTTTGTTTTGTATTATTAGTTTGTTAATTGACTTCGTACCCATGTTTTTATATACTTTACTAGGTTATAACACACAGAAATCACGGTTGGTATATTTAAAATTTTTATATAGATTAAAAATAATAAATGTAAAAAAAAATATTATCAATTGTAAGTAATTATGAATTAATTTGTTAAGTAAAAAATAAACATAATAATGTTATTAGGATATAATTTTGTATTTTCAAATTTTAAATTTGAATTTGATTTGTTACCATAAAAAAATCATAGAAAAATGTCACGAATCAAAAAGATATTCTAAAAAATTGATATTTACAATTTTTAGGTTTCATTTATTAGAAGAGTTAAAGTTAGATAGTTGACTTACCGTCTATTCTTGAAACAACTTTCAATTAGTGTTTAAACATTGGTCCAACTCGACCAAATAAAAAAAATAATTAACTAAAAGTTATAGTTTATAAGTTTAAAATGGATAACACGAGTGATATCATCTTTTCAAATGCTTATCGTGGTTAGTGCCTTAGTGGTGATAAGTTTAGTTTTTCTTTTAACAACCGAATTATATATAAGAAAATTTCTAACAAGGGATTAGATAAAAAAACCATTAAAAAAAACAAGATTGTCAAAATCGAGATCGTTTAAATTTTGCAAGATCGTAATCGTAAGATGCTGGTTTGGACCCGTTTCGAGTCGAGATGTTGGTTTGGACTGGTATATAGCATTGGCTTAGTGATTTAAAGGGGCTAAGCTACTCATGCATAAGGTGGATCTTAGGACCTACCTTTTTTACTTTTTAATTTAACAATTATATATAAAAAACATAAGGAACTATCTTATTTTTTCCAAAAGACTTATATTTTTTTTGTTTCATTTATATGAGGAATTATGTTGATTTTGGTTTTAGATTCGCCACTAGTTGTTTGAGATAAACCGGTTCGCTATGGAGCCGTTTGAGAAATGTTTTTATTGTTGTTGTTGTTATTGTTGTTATAGCCGTTATTTGTTGATTTTTTTTTTTGCATAAATGACCAATTGCCCTTCATTGGCTAGTATAAATATGTGTTGGATGCTCGCGGACCTACTAAATTGTTCACTAGTCGAGCTCGAGCTTCATTTTAAGACTCAAATCGAGTTTGATCTCAAGTTCGAGTTTCCTCAAAATTAAACGAGTCGAGCTCGAGCTTGATCAGGCTCGGGCTCGGCTCGGCTCATTTACACTCTTATTGACATGCAATATGTTTGAATATGTTTTACAACAAAATGATACTTTAAAAATGTTTCATAAGAACCTTGCACACGGTTACAGGATTACACCATATCCATAGTGTAGTTTGGTGCTTATCAAACAATTAAACGAGATTTTTTATAAACATCTACTTTTTTCTTGGGTATTATCCTACAAGTTCTTTAGCCCCTCACCAAATATTTTATATGTGTTTGGTATTAAATGATTTTGAATGAAAAACCAAATGTTTATGGTACAACCGATGAAAATTAAATTAAAAAAAAAAAAATTAAATATCATCTTACATTTCATTTTTTATTTATTCTTTTATCATATCAAATGTTGACATGTATTACATTTAATAACACATTTAATGAAATTGATAATATTTTAGTCAACTTGTCACCGGTTATTACTTCTGTCAATGCATTTGAACCCAACCATAAATGTTGGCATGGTTTGAAATTTACTTGAAAATATATTGTATAACTTGAGTTTATTAGATAGAATGCAAATTTTACAATCGAGACAAAAGCTAAATTTAACCATATTTGTTCAAAAAATAATTGTGATTTATTTAACGAAATATGATTCAATACCCATGACTCAACGAGAAATGCGGTGGAACAACCTAGATTGGTTAATAACGAATCAATTAGACTAAAAAAATGAAGCTACTAAACGGCATGTACGAGCACCCCTAGAAGCGAACCCAATAGGTATATTAGAACCGGGTTTTTAGCACACATAAGTATACAAGAGATTGAAAAAATATATATTTTTGGCTTGGTGAGAAGAAAAGAAATCTCAATTTTTTATTCTAAGTCGTTATGGCCTGTGA